GAGAAAGCAATTGCTAAACAGCTGTGTGACTTTCTACAGAGCAATAGTTTATTTGAGGATTTTCAGTCAGGATTTAGAGCTCATCATAGCACAGAGACAGCACTGGTGAAAATTACTAACGACCTCCTTATTGCATCAGACAAAGGATTTGTCTCTGTACTGGTTTTATTAGATCTTAGTGCTGCATTTGATACCATTGACCATCAGATCCTATTGCAGAGACTGGAACATTTCATTGGCATTAAAGGAACCGCTCTAAGCTGGTTTAAGTCCTATTTATCAGATCGATTTCAGTTTGTACATGTCAACGATGAGTCCTCCATGCACGCCAAAGTTAGTCATGGAGTTCCTCAAGGATCTGTCCTCGGACCAATCCTCTTCACTTTATATATGCTTTCTTTAGGCAATATTATCAGGAAATATTCCATAAACTTTCATTGTTATGCAGATGATACTCAGTTATATCTATCGATCATGCCAGATGAAACTCATCAGTTAGCTAAACTTCAAATGTGCCTTCAGGATGTTAAAACCTGGATGACCTGTAATTTTCTAATGGTAAACTCAGATAAAACTGAAGTTATTGTTCTAGGGCCCAAGCACCTCCGTGATGCATTATCTAAAGATATAGTTTACCTTGATGGCATTGCCCTGGCCTCCAGCACCACTGTGAGGAATCTTGGAGTTATCTTTGATCAGGACATGTTGTTTAAGTGTCACATTAAGCAAATTTCAAGGACCGCCTTTTTTCACCTATATAATATTGCGAAAATCAGGAATATCCTGTCTAAAAATTATGCAGAGAAACTAGTCCATGCATTTGTTACTTCTAGGCTGGATTACTGCAATTCATTATTATCAGGCTGCTCGAAAAAGTCCGTTAAGACTCTTCAGCTGATCCAGAATGCTGCAGCATGTGTTCTGACAGGAACCAGGAAAAGAGATCATATTTCTCTGTCTTAGCTTCTTTGCATTGGCTTCCAGTAAAATCCAGAATAGAATTTAAAATCATTCTTCTTACCTACAAAGCTCTTAATGGTCAGGCACCATCTTATCTTAAAGAGCTCATAGTACCTTACTACCCCACCAGAGCACTGCGCTCCCAGAATGCAGGGTTACTTGTGGTTCCTAGAGTCTCCAAAAGTAGACTAGGAGCCAGAGCATTCAGCTACCAAGCTCCTCTCCTGTGGAACCAGGTTCCAGGTTGGGTTCAGGAGGCAGACACCATCTCCACATTTAAGAGTAGGCTTAAGACTTGATAAAGCTTATAGTTAGGGCTGGCTCAGGTGAGTCCTGAACCATCTCTTAGTTATGCTGCTATAGGCCTAGACTGCCGGGGGGGTTCCCATGATGCATTGAGGTCCTCTCTCCTCTACTTTCTCTCCCTCTGTATGCAATAAAGGGATGAGGTTGCATACAGAGGGAGAGAAAGTAGAGGAGAGAGGACCTCAGTGCCTCTCCTCTCTCCTCCTATCACTTCCTGTAGGTGTTTCTGGCTCTGGAGCTGTGGAGTCTGGATCTGTGGCTGCGAGTCACCTGCTGCCCCCGTGTTCCTGCTCGACACCCTCTGCAACAATAACTATTGTTACTACTCCTATTGTTATTATAATCATTAACATTACGATTATTATCATTAACACTACTATAAATATCTATACCATTTTTCATTTAGTCATTTAGTCTATAGCAACATCACCTTTACTGTCTGAACCTCTGTGTGTATATTGTGTAGGCTGCCTCCCTCCCCTCTCTCTCCTTCCATCCCTCTCTTCTTCTCTCTGTTCCTCTCCTGCCCTCTTTCTCTCTGTTCCTCTCTTCCCCCCTCTCTCTCTCTCTCTTGCCCTCTCTCTCTCTCTCTCTCTCCTTCACACCCAACCGGTCGAGGCAGATGGCCGCCCACCTTGAGCCATGGTTCTGCTTGAGGTTTCTGCCTCTTAAAAGGAAGTTTTTCCTTGCCTCCTTCGCCTAGTGCTTGCTCTTGGTGGGAATTGTTGGGCTTCTGTAAATAACATCACAGAGTATGGTCTAGACCTGCTCTTTTATGAAAAGCGCTGTGAGATAACTGTTGTTGTGATTTGGCGCTATATAAATAAAACTGAAGGTTGGAACTTCCTAAAAAACCTAGCCATAATCACACTTGCAGGTCCGTACAAGACTGTAGGATATTTTAATCATACCATGAATTTGAAAAATGGCCCTATTGGTCTATTGTTCTGTGCAATGAGGAGGATGTTTGTACACAGCGTAATGCCCATTGTGTTCCAATAGATTAACTCCCACACCCCAGCTTAGGCTCCAGTGAGTTCTAATAACCCAGTATGCATTAATTTGGTGATTTGCAGGTGAAAAGACATCTGAATTCAATTGAGTTTTTTATTTCACTGAAATGCTTTTTAGTTGCAGCTATGTGTAACCTGGATGCCTAAAACAACGTTCACATTCAACTACATTTTGTCCAGTTTTAACCCCGACATCTAGATGTCTTTAGACCTGCAAATCATCAAATTGTTGTTTATTGGGAGGTGACTGTTTTCAATTCAATTAAATTCAATGAGGCTTTATTGACATAAGAAACAGACATTTACAATGTCAAAGCAAGTGTGAAATTACAGTAAAATATCTCGTTTGAAAAATAGATCCTCTGTAAACAATTCTTATTGGCTCTGAAAACCTATTTCCACAATCCGTTTCTTCTATGAGAGACTTGGTCCTGCATGAACATACAATCTTTTGATAGAAAGTGTTGTGTTCTTGTCTGCACTCTTCTCATTGAAGCAGGTGGGGCTCAGTTGTTTAAAAAATGATGTGTGTGTATCAACCCGAACTCAGCAGCATTGACAATCTGACGACACAAATCTGATCAAACTACACTCACGCTGCTCACACTGAAACTGATCAGCTGAGCTTTTGAGTGTTAACACTGAAGAAAGTTGGTGGTGTTACTATTTTTTCAAAATTTAAAATTGCTTTCTTAGCCATAAATATTTAATGTTATAGAAAATCCAGATTTTCACAGGCTTTAAGTAATCATTTGTACCTGAGACAGTGCAGGAGACTCAAATGTACTGGACGACACATGAATACATTTGAAATATAATATATATATCAACTGCATTAAATTATTAATGTTTGATTTTTATGGCAGAAAGTCATGTAATGAAAACAAAAAAATCTCTCCCTTAATGTAGTGTATATAATCTATCAGGGACAGGTGGATGAGTTTGTGTGTCTCTTCTCGTAAGGTGTGAATAAATTTACCAATCTATAAATCTCTGTGAATACGGGTCAGCAGATTAAAACAGCATATGGTGATGAGATTAACAGCCATGACATTGTATACATCTATAAATCCTCTTGGGTGATAAAAAAAAAAAGTGTCATGGCCTAACCATCACCAGTGAATTGGCAGACAGACTTTCAGATAGGAAACCTGGAATGACAAGGAAGCCTGTCTGGACCACGAGCACCACCTGCTGGACGTTGGTTGCAGGTGCAACGTATTTTGATTGATCTGGGGAAGCAGATGTGAAAGAATAATTTGGGTCAGACAATAATAGGCGTCTCCAAAATAGTTTAAATATTTTTATGTTATGTTATTTTTTCACTGCGATTCATTTAGTGGATTTCTGATTGCATAAAACAATCCATGCTTCAGGCTGCAAAGCCATTCAGCCTCAGAGCTTGAGGTTATTTACACACACCTAAAGGATTATTAGGATCACCATACTAATACTGTGTTTGACCCCCTTTCACCTTCAGAACTGCCTTAATTCTACGTGGCATTGATTCAACAAGGTGCTGAAAGCATTCTTTAGAAATGTTGGCCCATATTGATAGGATAGCATCTTGCAGTTGATGGAGATTTGTGGGATGCACATCCAGGGCACGAAGCTCCCGTTCCTCCACATCCCAAAGATGCTCTATTGGGTTGAGATCTGGTGACTGGGGGGGCCATTTTAGTACAGTGAACTCATTGTCATGTTCAAGAAACCAATTTGAAATGATTCATGCTTTGTGACATGGTGCATTATCCTGCCGGACGTAGCCATCAGAGGATGGGTACATGGTGGCCATACAGGGATGGACATGGTCAGAAACAATGCATTTAAACGATGCCCAATCGGCACTAAGGGGCCTAAAGTGTGCCAAGAAAACATCCCCCACACCATTACACCACCACCACCAGCCTGCACAGTAGTAACAAGGCATGATGGATCCATGTTCTCATTCTGTTTACGCCAAATTCTGACTCTACCATCTGAATGTCTCAACAGAAATCGAGACTCATCAGACCAGGCAACATTTCTCCAGTCTTCAACCGTCCAATTTTGGTGAGCTCTTGCAAATTGTAGCCTCTTTTTCCTATTTGTAGTGGAGATGAGTAGTACCCGGTGGGGTCTTCTGCTGTTGTAGCCCATCCGCCTCAAGGTTGTGCATGTTGTGGCTTCACAAATGCTTTGCTGCATACCTCAGTTGTAACGAGTGGTTATTTCAGTCAAAGTTGCTCTTCTATCAGCTTGAATCAGTCGGCCCATTCTCCTCTGACCTCTAGCATCAACAAGGCATTTTCACCCACAGGACTGCCACATACTGGATGTTTTCCCCTTTTCACACCATTCTTTGTAAACCCTAGAAATGGTTGTGCGTGAAAATCCCAGTAACTGAGCAGATTGTGAAATACTCAGACCGGCCCGTCTGGCACCAACAACCATGCCACGCTCAAAATTGCTTAAATCACCTTTCTTTCCCATTCTGACATTCAGTTTGGAGTTCAGGAGATTGTCTTGACCAGGACCACACCCCTAAATGCATTGAAGCAACTGCCATGTGATTGGTTGATTAGATAATTGCATTAATGCGAAATTGAACAGGTGTTCCTAATAATCCTTTAGGTGAGTGTATATTACCGAATGAAAACGCATCTTCAGAAGTCTTGACATTGAGCCTTTCCACCGCTAGATGGAGAAATGGGACAGAAAGAAAATGAAAGAATGGTACTTTCTCATCTGAGAGAAGGACTGGATTTGATCCCAGTCTTCGGCTGCGCGTAGGCCTACACCGCTCTTCTGCAGCCCTAAAGCAGACAGCCTGGTTCCTTGGACGTCATATGATAAGGCTGGAGGAGAGCCAGCAGGGCCCCCGTTTGGAGAGGAGGACCCATATCTCAGTCAATGCGCGCAGCCAGGGCCCCCTTTATCTCGACAAGGCAGGGAGGCGTATCCTTTCCCCCACTCCCCTTCACATACCACTCTGGCTCTCTCACTCTGTTTCACCCATGCACTAACTAGTCTACAACCTGCTTCAGACGACGCCCCATCGCCCATGAGATTTCCACCGAGCCCGCGGTGCATCTTTTTGGCTCGAGAGGAAATCATTGGGGTCTTATTACTGTCGTGCTGTGCGCTCAGGCTGCCCACGGCATCACTTCAGCAATAACAGAAGGGGTGCCAGCCAGAAGAAGAAGGGGAGGAGGAGGAAGAGGAGGAGGAAGAGGAGAGGAAGGGGTGTCAGAATATTGCGAATTGACGCTCAGAAAATAAACAAGGAGACACCCTGTTTGGAAGACGTCTGTGGCGGGAAGCGACAGGGATCTGCAACTGAGTAAGTCGTGATTTACAGTATGCGTGTGCGTGGATGTGTCCGTGTTTTCCTGTGGCTGACCTGCTTTTGGTGATTTGATCAGCGGATGGCTGTGCAGCGGCGCAATATTTAAGCTTCCAGCCCGGCAGCATCATTTGACTCGGGCAGGAGGGGTGGCAGAGCAGGACAGAGGGATGGAGAGAAGAAAAAAAAAAAGAAGAAAATATTGACGTTAAATATCTGTACTAGAGAAATATCTCGCTGTAAACAGGGTCGTTGCATTAATATGAGGTTGCAACTAGTAATCAGAAGAGGCGCAGCATCATTAAAGGGACATAGCCTACACGCAAATTGAACATAACAAGCTCCCCATAAAGTCAGGCGCTGGTTTGGAGGTGAATTACAGAAAAAAATAGCTGCATTATTATGTCATGTCAACATCCTTTATTACATGCCCAGAGGCCTGCTTTACTGTACTTTCAGATACATCCAGGGAGACAGGTGTAACGGTATACGACGTGTTTACGAGAATGCCTTTGATGATCTATCATGTTCTATCGATCTGTTTTTGCGAGGAGAGTGTCTCTTGATGTCTTTTTTTTTTTTTTTCATTTCTTTTTTTTCTTGCCTCGTCGGTGAATTTCCAGTGGCGCCAAGCCGTGCATGGCCGTCACTGCATGGATGAGAGATGCTGACTGGCTACAGGCTGTAGAGGAGAGGATAGTAACAGGATATTCTATGGTGTGTAGTGATGTGAGCAGTCTGCTCCAATATGGCGCGCATGAGCTGAAAAACCTTGGCCATTACATACTCCTGTCTGGAATTTACACCGTGCAGTGGACCAGGCAGTTTGGGGTTTAGGATACCAGAGAATGAGTGTGCACCCCTAACCTCCTGAGGTTTAGCTCAAATTTATTTCAGCTCAGGTTGCTACTGGTGATAGTCCGGCTCCGCTGTCCTGTCAAAATATCACGTAGGCTTGTGTATTCTCCTTCTGTGTCTATTTCTGTCTCTGAATAGAATATCAGTTGGACCAACTCCTTATTTTACTCTGTTTTTGTAATTATGTTTGATCACAGCAGGTAAAGGGACAGCCACACAAAGAGTGTGTTTGTGTTTGGTCTAATGTCCATTGTTTCTCTCCGGGGTTTCTGCCCTGTGAAGCAATGTGATCGTTGTGGACAACATTTTTGTTGACAAAACCACCAAGCTCATGATAGTATAGTATAGCATAGTCTATAAACACAACACACCCACTGCATTTCTGAGAAAATTAATGTGAGTCCTCGAAGTACAGACAGGACTCTCTTTTTTGTATTCATCAAAAATAACAGTGACACCAGTTTGATTTCTGGAAATGCTGGGGAAATAAGTGTAGTGGAAGTCATTGAGCCTTCTTTCATGGCAGCTTCTTCTGAGTCAAAATGATCATTCATTTCAAGTCCTCAGAGAATGTTTGTAGGGGCAAGGACAGTTGCAAGGATTTATGTAATTTGGTGTAGCCTAATGATTAAATAGAAGTATTCAGCACTGGCAACCTTTGGGCTCACTGTTGCCATTTTCTGTACTGTGTCACAGCTGTAGGATCAAGACTTATAAAAACACTTTACGAAGCCCTTTTTTTTTTTCAGGAAATAGCCTATGTCAACAATTAAAAATCACAGCACTCTGGTTTCCTATGGATCAGCTACATTAGTCTTCATTGTCCAATGAAGTAGACATTTGTCCTTGTGAAATACAAAATACGCATTAACACAAAATGCAGATCTCGAAGCACATACATTTAAAGCAACAAATTAATAATAAGAATATGGCAGAAATTACACTACATGCCACTTAAGTATCACTGTGAAAGGCTGAATTTGTAAGAATTAAGAACATCAATGAAGATGATTATTTTGCACTAGTACAAATACAAAAAAAGGGTAATATCAGCAGCACATCTCTGCGGACTGTTTATTGTATGAGTGAGACAGAGTGTTAAGTCTATGGTAGGCCTCAGCCTGGCATCTGGGGGTCTATATCCGGTTGGCTGCTCTGTATTGTGTCAGCGACTCTCAGTAGGGCTGACAGCACTTATCTTGTCCACCCAATCATCATCAGGCATGATGACTCTGGATAGCCACATTTCTGTGTGAGTTTTTGTGTATATTTGCACATATGTGTAGCTTTGTGTGTGCACTTTAGTCTGTCTTTGCATGCATGTGAGAAATAAGAGGGACTGTGTGTGTGCGTGCGCGTGTCTGTGTGTTGATGACGGTCTCCTGGCCTAGCAGGCTGTGCACTGGGATGGATCTGCTTTCACCAATTTAGATAGGGCAAATAGGCTGGTAACCGGAAGGTCTTTCATCTTAATCTTGGACTGTCAATGAAAAATAAGGTGAAATGTGAATAAGTGACACTTTACTACCAATCAACTATACTCAAAGGGCTATTTAGTAAGCTCTGAAGCCCTAATTTCTCCAGCTGAGACCGTCTCTCAGCACAACTGGGACCGTCTCTCAGCACAACTGGGAGAAAACTGGTCATATTGAGCTTTTCCATGTAACAAAAAGAGCATGGTTACTAACTGATCTGATCACAGCTCGTTGCTGATATTAATGCAAAGCTGATTTGTCACAAATCCATCGCTACAACCCAATGCTCACTTACACTACAGTCAAGTCACGCAAACATGTAGCTGACATATTGTGAAAGTGGCTATAATCAATATCTTTATATTAACAATTGTGCATGCATAACTACTTCTATGTGAAAGGGGTCACTCATAGTGATAAACCCTCAGAGAATTAGCACCCAAAACTACCATTCCCCTCAGCTCTGCAGAGCATTTTAGCATCTCTCAGCCTATTGTTTTGATTTTTCTGACCAGCAGCTTTACTGTTTTTGATTGAGTCTCAGCACTCCTACATTGTTTCCAGACATGCAGGCAGCTGTTTTCAGTGGATAAAGCTCTGATAAATCTACTGTACGCTGAGACAGACAAAGTTAACAACTAGCTGGGGAACACAGTGGAGCAATTAGCAGCTTAAAACCAGATATTTCACATTGAGGAGTTAGTCGAGACCAAAACAGCTTGAAAGATTTCAGTCGGTTCCACTGCCCACAAGTCACACAAAAAAAATCAGTTAATGCAGGTTTAATGAAAATGCTAGGAAATTAAAGGTAACTGCATTCTGCATTATTAACATGATTATACTAATACTGACTAATATTTTAATTTTAACATAGCACTACCGCTAGCATTGCTACCCTTTCAGTGGCAAAAACTATTTGGTACAACATCATTACCAGAGGATAGCAGGCCTCTCACGGGGTCATATTCTGCCCAGAGCAAGTAGCCCCAGAGTGATGGATATTACTAATTACCCTCCTTGACCTTGCTGTCATTAAGAAACCATTTATGCAAGGGCTATTAAATCAGTATGCTAGTCAACGAAAATGAATGTCATGCATTACAGAAGCCCTTATAGTTACTGTTTTGTTCTGAAAGATGGTATGGTACAGTAAAAGAGGAAGTGGAAGTGAAAGCTTGCTCAGCAAGCATACAGAATGATGAGGAGTAACATCTGGGCAGATTATAGAGATATGAGATATTTGATAATGTGATGCAATCCACCTTGCCCTTTCCGTCTCCATGTTTTTTTTCTCTTTCTATTAATCTCAGCCTCCTCTTTTCCTCCTGGATAGTCACTTTTTCTGTCCTTTTTTCCTGACTATCTCTCATTACAACCCCCCTCCTTGCTGCTTTGTCATGACAGATAAGGCGAAAGGGGATTTGTTTTTTTCACTCTCTTCCCAGCAGATAGTCTGTCTTCTGATAAACTGTCATTTTTAGCCTCTAAGTCATTTTAATCTCAGCAGGAAATGTGCTCGGCAGAATGTGTTTGTGCATTTGTGTGTGTGTGTCTTATGCACCCCTCCCGAAACACGCGCACACCCACATGCTCATATGACGATCACCAGTTTGTTGCAAAGATGATATCAAAAGCACTATTGATAAGCGGCAGAGAGGGATCATCTGTCTTTTTGCACTGTAGAGAACCTGAACCTAACACCACACACACATTTACACACATGGATGAATATTAGGTTTTGTCCCCTTGTAAATGAAACATTTTTATGTTCCCAGAAGAGATTGGACAGGGCTATACTGGACAAACATACTGAGCATAAACAATTCCTGAGCCTCTTGAGAGTCTTAAGTGGGGAGTGGGATCTTGCCATAAGGGAAGGCACCTATTTGGCCTAATGGTTCCTGTATTAATGCTGAGAGGCTGCTCCAATAATAAAAGTTCATAAGCTTCCTATATCCAGATATACATGGAGTTAGCTGATTGACCAGAGAGCACCAGGATGCAGGAGACAATCCACTATAGAAATTGGCTGCAAACATAAAAGCAACGCTGTCAGCAGGTCAGGATGATGCTAATGTTGGAACATTGTTATTTACTCATCGCAATTCTCTCAACTTGAAATATATTTAAGCCTTAATAATTAGAGACACAAATAGGCATTTGTAACATTTTTGTAATCTACCAACAATCAGGTGATAGATTCCTAATGCACTATCCATAGGACAGGACACTGGGGATTAACCCAAGATTTTTCATTGCACACTCCTTCAAAAGAGACATTGTAAAATCCCAGTTAGAGTAGCTGTTTCGTGGTAAGCAGGGAGACTGACCATTTTTGTAGGCAACCAGTCTAACCCAGTCCAGCATAACAGTCTAAAATCATTTTCAGTTTAATATCATATGACAAGAAAGGCATAAGACGCTGTCATTTGAGAAGCTGGAATATTAGGCGTTTGTGCTTAAAAATTAATTTAATTGGTAAATTTATCATCAAAATAGTTGGCATTTAATTTTCTGTCAATTGACTAATCGATTAATTGACTAATTGTTGCAGCTTTACATCAGAGTACAACCAGAAATGTGTCCATTTATCATGGTCATGGACCTTTGTGTAATCTTTTTTCAGGGCCTTTAGTTTGTTCTCTACTTGCTTTTGAACGCGGC